GCCCTGCTGTGGGGTTTCCTGCTTGAATCACTCAGTCCTCAGCTTCATCTTGGTGTGAGAAATTGGCCTGATGTCATGGCTAGGTCGCACATCCTGCCTGCCAGCTTGGATTAAATCCTGTGATTTGTGTCAGATCAGATTTTGGAAGGTTTATTTCACATTGCTGATGTGCAGTGCTGGTGGGCATGAGGTTGTGTCAGGGGGAGAAGGAACAGGACAGAGAAATTTCCTGGGATATAACAGGTTCTCTTCTCTTCTCTTCTCTTCTCTTCTCTTCTCTTCTCTTCTCTTCTCTTCTCTTCTCTTCTCTTCTCTTCTCTTCTCTTCTCTTCTCTCTCTTCTCTTCTCCTCTCCTCTCCTCGAGTCTCCTCTTTCTCCCTATATGTACTATAAGGGTGTGGTGATAAAAATATTAATATTTCAGATCAGAGAGATGTGGCTCAGAAGTTGATCCTAATTGAAAGAACATCCCTTTCAACCCAAAGCTAACAGTCTCTGACTGTTTCAAACTCCTCACTTTGGAGCTAAGATAATACTGGGTGGGCCACTCCTAGAGGCCCCCCCAAGAGCCAGCTCTCCATGTTGTCATTGTTTGATTCCTTCTCACAATTGTGGCACTTGGCAAGTTCCCCAGCAATGGATACCTGGCTTTACTGGCACTTTATTATTTTCCTCCCCTCTTTTCTTTTTATCTGAAACAGTGTATAGGCTGGATCTCTGTGTTCACTTTGCAGAGAACAGGGCAGCAGAGAGGAAGCTGTCCAAATGTCCCTCACTATAACCATAGTTAATAAATCCTCTCTCTGGGCTGTCAGTCAAAGCATTTGGATTTTTAGGCACTCGGAGGCCCCAGATTCTCTGAGCTCTCAGCCCTGATGCCACCAGCTCTGTCACAGCATTGCACCACCAGGACAGCCACAGGGGACATGAGGGACCTCACTCCTGGAGTTTTGGGGCGCTGTCTCCCACCACCCATGGCAGTATCTCAGTTGCTCAAGAGCAGCCAGCTGTTTGGTTTGGCTCTTCTGGTTCATCACCCAGCAGGAGGAACAGGAAGGGTCCCAACCACTGCCTGAGCCCCCCCTGAACATCCTTGCTAAATACACTCAGCCAGTGAACCCAGCAGCAGTGCCTCACCTCTGCCAGCCCAGCTCTCCATAAAACAGCCAGCTCCAGGTAGCATCCAGCTGGAAAGAGTTACGTTTTGTAAAATTTAACTTTGCCACAGCACTATTGAGGTGGAAAAAAATTGAGCAGCAGCCACAATTCTCAGTGCCCAGGGAGAATTCACATCACAACAGGAGCATGATGGGCACTTTTTTTAACAAACAAGTCTTTAAAAGAAGTACTTGCCAAGTGTCAAAATATTTGTCAGTGATATTAAGGGCCTTTGGCAGCCGTAATTTAACCGTGAAAGAACCTGATGCCGGCGAAGGACCACACAGCTGGAAATTTGTGCTGCAAAGCAGCATTTTATGGCTGTTAAGCTGTTGGCCTCTCAACATTGTAAAGCTGTTAAACAAACACAGCCCTTGGCTCACAACACGTGTCAGGGAGGCACAGTGTTTTGGCAGGAGGAGACTGATGGCAACAGGGTCTTCAAAAGACCTATGTAAAGGTAGAAATAAGCAGAGAAGGACAATTCAGGTGGAGGATGAGATGCTTCTTGGCCATCACAGCCTCATGCTGGAAGAAGGTGGTCTTGGAAAGAGTGTGTAGGCTCACATGGAGTTGCATCCTCCCCAGGTTTGGCATCAGATAAGATTGCCATGCACATATGGATCCTGTACATCGTACCACTGTCATAGCTGCTGCTCAGTAGACCCTTGAATCACTCTTTTGCAGGAAGGTGTTATCCTAGGGAAGCCTAAATGTAGAATATTTGTATGGTATTGGTAGCTTTGAATGGGGAAATAAGTGTCCCAGGAGGATGAGCCACATGCTGCAAACTGCATATCCTTTGCTGCACGTAGTGACGTGTTGAAGCAAGCTGTGTTAGTGACAAAAAATGCCCCAAGAGCAGCCACAGCCTGGCAAACACAAGCTGAGCCCTGGTCCCAGGGAAGCATTAAAATATATTTGCTGAACCCAGCACTCAAAAATTCAGAGAAAATGCCCACAAAAATAAGGAGGTTCCTATCTATTTCTTTACTGTTTGCTTCCATTCTCTCCTAGCAATCATTGCTCATTTCTTTGGCTTGGAAGCCGATCTTAGGAGGCAGGAACAGCTGGTCCTGCTGCAGGGAAGTGTGGTGGGAGATGCCTCCAGCTGTGCTGCCTGCAGCCACCTGTCCAGGACAGGCACTCCTTAGACTGCTGCCATGAGCTCTTTTTCTGGGTCAGAAGCTGTATTAGAAGAGCACCAGTGACTCTTTATCATCAGGAGGGCACCACAGGGATGGACAGGGTGGTCTTCCCAGGCCTTTGTGACTCCTGCCCTGTCCAGTGGTCCCCCCCTCCAATGATACTCCACCTCCTGGAGCTTTCCAAGAAACGTTATGCCTGCAAGGCCGATTCTTTCACAACTTGCCTGTGTTAAAACTTACCCAAAACAACCAGACTCTGTGTGTTACACTCTTCGCTCTTCCAGATCTTGACTGTGTGGTACCTTTCATTGCTACCAGACAGACCAAAGAGAATTGGAGGAGTTGTGGTTCTCACACTGGTAATAAAAAGAGAGGTTGTGGTAGCATCATTTGTCTTGCTTGCAGCATTTCCTCCTGTTTTTTTCCATGGAAACTCTAAATTCCAGTATCTAGTTTCTGCACTTGGTGGGTTTTGTTATGCAGTGTCTGGGCCATGAAGGGAGGCTGCAAGACTGGGCTGTAGATGGTTGGAAAGCAACAAGCTAAGCAGCAAGAACCAGTGCTGGATGTCTGCATTCAGGTGCTGGTCCATGTGGTTGCACAACTCCATCTTCTTGCAGTCCCCTCACTGATGTGTGCCCCTGTCTTAGGTGGCTGCAAAGAAATTACTCAAGTGTGAACAGGAAGAAGCTAATGGGACATTTACCACCTAGACCTAGGAAAAAAATGTTTGTGGGTTTCTTTCCCAATGATTTGGGTGATCCATTTTGAGGAGATGGACTAGTAAATTATTACTGCTGTCTGGTGAAATTGGTTTTTCCCCTCCCTGATGGACACAGCTCCACTGTGTCTATTTTGTCACTCAAAAACAGCCATTTTGATGAGAAGTGGGTGAGATTAAGCCAAAATCTGCTAGCCTTGCACGTCCTCTTGCTAAGCAATTTGCTGCTTCACTGCCTTTGGAAGATTGCACTGAAGTTGCTTTCCTGGCACCAGGAACCGTTTTGAGAATTAGTGCAAAACTAATTTGATTACAAATCTCAAAGACACTAACAAAAGCTATTTTTAAGCTTTTGAGAAGTAGGGTCTGAATCAGACTGTTCAGGGAAAACACCGCAAGAGTTTCTTACTATTATTTCAGCCACAAAATTCTCCAAAATTGTGGGATTCTGGTGCAGTTGGCTGGCTGAGATCTAGCATGTGTCCATCACCAGTATGTAGAGCTTGTGGTCAGCGCCCGGGGAGCATCATGAGGGACCCAGCACACTGCTTGCCTTGGTGCCTCTCTTGGGTTACTAAAGGTGTTTGTTCTTCCTTCTTAAAAGTATCGTGTGCTTCCTCATAACCCAACCTCTTATAATCATCAGAACTCTGGTTATATATAAAATATATATAAAATATAAATAAGGTAAGTCTCATTTAAAAAGCACCACTGTCCAGAGCCAGGGCAGGATGGCAGGGATCACATCCACTCCTTTGACATCCTCTGGTACAAACTGAGGTCTGTGTCAGGTAATACAGGAGCACTGGTCATAATTCACATCATGCTTATCCACATGCACCTCTCAAACCTTTGCTGCCTTCAAAGACAGCCTGATAAAGCTGTTTTAAGGACTACACTTGGATGTAATCCTTGCCTTCCCAAGGCCATGGGAGCTGAGGCCTCTGCAAGGGAGCATAGCTCTGCAAAAGGGAGGAGCTCAAGGTGGTCCCTCAACCCCATTCATCCCTCACACAAGTGCCATGAGCCTCACTCACCCCAGAGAAACACTCTGCTCACCTCATGGGATGGGGGGTTACACCTGCACAATTTTCCCTCAGTTTTAGCCTTTAACACGTTATTCTTGTGGCTATTCCCCTTCCTGTGGTCTCCCAACTGTGTCTGGCATGGGGAGGGAAGCAGGGCTGAAGCTCTCAGGACCAGGGCTGATGGCTGACATTTGTTTTTCTGGTTAGCTTCAAACTCTGCAACCCCCAGAGTCCATTCTGCGGGTAGTTTGGCTGGGGGCCGCCGTCAGCAGTGCTTGGAAGAATCAATGATAACCTTTTCCTTTGCTAAGGAGTTACCCATGTGCCAGGGAGCAGGGGATGCTGAAAAACAAACGAAGCTGGGAATCTCCATGGGTCTCCCTGGCATTATTCCTGATATTTGAAAAACAAACCAGCTCTCCTTTGGTTTTATTAGTCTTTCTATCCTGGCATTTAAACAGAGATTGGCATGGTCAGTATCTGCAGACACATCCTATGATCCTGTCAGGGGTTTATCTGAAGGTTAGGACACTCAGGGTGCTACAAGCGGGGTGCCTCAGTTCCCCTGAGCTGCTGGGAGGCATTTTGGCATTGTGACACTCGGTAATGCCACTGCACAGATTATCCCACAGCACGGACAGAAGGGCATTTGGGTTCAAAAAAGCACGTCTGGGCTGTAGGGTAGAAGCAAGGTTCCTCTGAGCCTCAAGACCGGCACCTTTTGGGGTCATCTTATGCTGTGATGCTAGTTCAGTATTTAATTCTCCTGGATTTTAGTATCAAACTGAGGAACTGAGTCTTGCAGGTATGCCTGAGCATCATCCCAGAGAACCCCATGGTGGATAAGTGTCATGTCCCTCTGTCACCCTGTGCCTAGCAGTGGCTTTTCACTCTCACAGATTGAGCAGTGGGGTTCACGCTTGTTCTTGGCTTGGTTTCAGGCATGGAAGAAACGCTGGTTCGTCCTGCGCAGCGGTCGGATGAGTGGTGACCCTGATGTCCTGGAGTACTACAAAAATGACCACTCCAAGAAACCTTTGCGTGTCATCAACCTCAATTTCTGCGAGCAGGTGGACGCGGGCCTCACCTTCAACAAGAAGGAGCTGCAAGACAGCTACATCTTCGACATCAAGACGAGTGACAGGACCTTCTACCTGGTGGCTGAGACTGAGGACGACATGAACAAATGGGTTCGCAGCATCTGCCAGATCTGTGGCTTCAACCAGTCCGAGGAGAACACAGGTACCATGAGAGACAGGTCCATGGCTAAGAGCATCTTCTCTCCTGTCCTCCCAGTGGGCCCAGGTGCTCTTTCAGATCAGACCTGTAGGAGGGGGGTGCAGCCTGCCACAAGGCTGGGAGGGCTAAGTGGGAAATGCATGGACATGAGGGAAACTTTCGTAAGCCTTCCTGCCTTTGACATCTGAAGAGCTTGGCTACTGTGAGAGCCAATCATTTTTTACCCTACATAACTACCCTTCAGTCTCTAACAAGAAATTGGTGGTGTTTGGGGACTTTTTTAGTTGCAGCCTTTGTCCCTATCCATCATCAAAATCCCCTTTGAGAGTGGTGGAAACCAGCAGTGAAAATCCCCCTTGCTCAGGGGTTTCAATCCCTTGATGGAGTAGGGGGAGAAGCTTTACTGTGACCATTTTCCTCTCCACTGCTGTTGTCCCCACTGCTGGCAGGCTCTCCCATCTCTTCCTGGGACCCTCAGGGAAAGCACTGGGAAGGCGGAAGGAAAATTCCAAGTAGCTTATGTGCAGTGAGGGGACTATTGTCTGACTTGTGCTCCTCAGCTGCACTTGGGCAAGCCTCTGCATTATGCACTGCTGAGCTGCCTCTGCTTTCCCAGCTCACAAGGGCACACATAAATCCCGAGTGAGATGGGACTGGGGGAGTGAGCCTGGGGTGCAGCTCTGCAGTCCCCTGCCCATCCCATTATACCTGGTAGCACCTCTGGCTACCTTTGCTTCACCTCATCCACGGTCCAGTCTCATCCAAGGGACTGCAGGCCTGTGCTGTGTCTACATGAAACTCACTATAATAGCATCCAGCTCGAATCTGTTTTGGTCCCTCGTGGAGCAGCTGCCATCCGCAGGAGTTGAAACCCTGCCAAGAGCTTGTCAGGCAGGACAGCAAACAAAGCATCGCAGCAGCGCGGATGCGATCTTCCCTGACTGACGCATGAAACAGGATGTCACCTTGGCAATGGGTGCACAAGTGGCAGAGAGGATCCTTGATAACGTCGCCAGTCAGGTCTTTCAGGGAAAGGTCAGGCTAAATAAATTACATACCGTTCCAATGTCAGCAGCGCAGCCCTTGAGGTTCAGCAAAATTGTTCAGGCCCCTTTTTTAGGGGCTGTTTCATTGCAGGATTTTCCATTTTGCGTGCGTTCAGCTGGGGGAACTGTTTTTCTTCTCATTTAGTAAAATGAGCTTTCAGCCCAGCAGCAGAGGATCGATACGGGACTTCAGCGAAATACAAATCTGGGCAGCAAAAGGAAAAACAATCTCCCGCTTGCAAGTACATCTGTCCCAAAGGGCACACAGGGATCATCAGGCTGCAGAGATCCAAGCACTATTCCCTGCAGGATCATGAAGTGACATCAGCAAAAGAGGAACAAAAATCCCTATTTGTAACAGAATCACAGCTCGTTAACGCTGTAGGGAGAGTACCCACTTGAAACAGTACCCAGCTGCCAAAGTGTGATTTTCTGAGTAAGCCAAGAAAAAGGCTGCAATGGCAAATGCAGCAGATGTGTCCAGATGCTGCAGCAGAGAGGGAACATGAATTATTCAGGGCCAGTGCTTCACTTCAGTCCTTGCCTAAGCAGTGACCCCATGCTCACCTTTCCTTCACCATTCCTGCTAAGTAATGGCAAATAAATCATCCATGTCTCAAAGCGGGTAATGCTCATTTGAAGAACCCATGGCCTGAGGCTGGACGGAGAAGTTGAGGGATCACTGGAGCATGATGGGTGTTGGGAGTCTTGTCCATCTTAGCATATACAAGCTCATCATGCATCCTTCATGAGGTGCCATCTGGAGGGGGCAATGAAACTGTCGTAGCAATGTTTGTAACGCTGTTGTGCTCTGCTGTGCTCCCTCTACATCACCTCCTTGAAGTCAAGGGTGGATGGATGGGAGAGGATCAAGAGTTTGTGCAAGATTAAGACAGTTCCTGGGTAGAAACAGAGCTTGGGATACTTGGCATTTTGTTTTCGGACCTTCCTTCCCTCATCCTCAAACTTGTCTGTGCCTTGTTGTGGCCTCTGCCTTGGAGAATGGAGGAGTTGGTAATTGGATGAACCAAAAAGGGGGAGGAAAAGGTAACCATCATGGGCAGGAATAGGTCCATGCTAATTGTAGCAATTAATTAACTAAACCTTCTCCCAGCAGACAGGCAGCATGGTGGAACACGATCAGAAACTTCCAGAGAAGCCACTGTGCACATTTTTCTGGTTGTACTTGTTCCTGGGTGTGTGACTGCTTTGTACTGGCCCAAAAGCCTTGCTGGGTCTGGCCCCACAGCCAGGCTGTTCCCAGCTGGGCTGTACTCAGCTAGGGAAACACTCCATCACTGGCAAACACATTTACTGCAGTTGCCATCCTATGTTGATTTACTGCCTCTTTGAAGGGACACCCCACATCAGCTGAGCCCCAGCCACTAGTCAGTCACTAGTTTGCTTATAACCCAACAGTGATGGAGGACGAACTCATCAGCTTTTGGGGCAGTTTGGGTAAAAGCCTGTTCCACCAGCTCCCCGTGATGGTAGGGAAAAGGCAGGGTAAAAATGCTTTTTAGCATGATTTAGTAAGCAAATGGGCAGCCTGGAAGCAGTGATATAAACTGGCTGCAAACCCTCTGCAGCAGTGTGGGACCGTACTTAGGCGCTTCCCATGCTCCCAAAAGGCAAAACAATTAAAAGGCAAACAGATTTACACCCTTCGATGCCTCTTTCCGTTTGCAGCTCAATGGGAGTGTGTAAATTTTCTGTCACTTGGTTTTCACATTAGTCCTTCATGTCCTGTCTAGACAGGGGGACTCTCAGGATTAAGGAGGAGGCTGGACTTTAGGGCGGTTTAATGTCATGCTATGGCTCACTGCTGGTTTGCTGATCTCCAGCTGCATTATACATCTGTTTCAGCGGAAGGAAGCTCGTTTCAGCCCCAGGGGCCTGAATGTCAGTGAAGCAGAGGGTCCTGCCGGCTGTCCCAAGGAGCAGCCGCTCAGCAAAGCCGCCCCGGTGACTTTGTTCCCTGCCCCGACCTGAAAATAATTGCAGAGCAGCACGATTACATCTGCCAGGAGAAGGGAAATTAAACTGATTCTAAAGTGTTTACCCAGACTGTGGCAAAGCTCTTTGTTTCTGTTAACACATATTTACTTTGAGAGCTAATTACTATTTTTGAACAAGCAGAACCTCACAGGATCCCGGCTCCTCTACGTGTCTGAGGAAGCCGACCGTGCTCAAGGAAAGTCGATTTGCTCCTGTCTCAGTGCTGCCTTTACACTGCATTTTGCCCTGCTGCCACCTTGAGTGGTCCAAATACAATGGGGAGAGACTAGCCAGGGACCCTGGGCCACAAGCTACATGAGAAAGGCCAGCGCGTGGGTATTTCAAACCATCTGCATTTTCCCTGCCCTAGTGGGCAGGCAGCCAGGGCTCAGCTGTGAACTGAATTTTCTCATATGCTTTGTTTGTTGAAGTTAAAAAAAAATACCAAATCCCACTAAACGTATCTCATGTGCCATTAACCCTTTCTGAAGCTGATGCTTCAGCCAAAACCCCTCCTTGTCCTATCCTTAGTATGACAGCAGTGCAGCTACAGTAGCCTGTAGTTTCATGTGTCACAAAACAGTGTGTACCCATGCAGTGAGCATGTCCTTGCAGGGACCCCATGCAAGGATTAGTTATTTTGGAGGAGTCAATAACTTTATTAACTTTATGGCAATTTACCGTGCCACCACCAGCAGCTCCCTGGAGCTCCTCTTCTACCTCCTCCATGGAAAAGAGGCTCTTTCAGGGGCTTGGACTTGTGGGTGCTGACCAGTCATGGGTGGGAGTTTAAAAGCTTATTCACACACGTCATTAATGCACTGTGCTAGAGGTTTAACCCACACATGAAACCAGGGAAAGGAATATTTGCAGGTAAGTAGATGTCCCTGCTCTGAGCTGAAAGCTCCCTTCACTTGAGGGGGTGAGGAAGGCGTGAGAACAGGATGGCACTGGGCTCCTGCCCTGATGGGTTGTGTCTGGCAGCAGTAGCCTTTCCCACCCAGTCTAAGCATGTTGTCGTCTTCTTTTTTTTTCTTCTTATTTTTTTTTATCATCTGGGACTTAATATCTTTTATTTATTTCTCTGCTTTCTGGCAGGGAGTCGCTCCAGGGCGGTTCTGGATTCTGGCTAACTCCCCACTCCATCTCCAAGGCTTGGCATTGGTATTGTGTGTCATGACAGGGATCAATCCCCAGCAAACCCAGCAATGTCTCACTGAACATGGGTCAGGGTTGAGCATTAAAGTTTAATGGAGATGTGTCTTTCCTTCCCTTCAACTCAGACCTGCTCATTCTAGTCTGTGGATACCAGTCACTTTCTGCTCACTCTGGTGAGATCTGCACTTCACATGTGTGGGTCTCTTTGGCTTGGTTCTGCCCCAGACCCTCCACCAGTTGCCCCATTCCAGGCCATGAGAGCAAATTTATTGCTCTCACTTGACTTGCTTTGGCCAGGGGTCCCATATGGGCTGCTGGCTGATTGTCCCCCAGCCTGTTGCCTGCAAGTCTGTGTTATGACCCCATCTGGCTGCTCTTGCACCTTCCTTATGTCTCTCCCAAAAACATCTTTGTCCTAGCAACAGGCCAGTGACACCTCCAGCCCTATGGATTCCTTGCAGACAGGTTTGCCCAACAAAGGGAGCTCAAGATGGACCAACAGAGAACAAAGAGAGAAGAAAACAACATAGATACCTCTGAAGACTTCTTGGGAGGACAGGAGCTGCCCAAAACTCAGTGAAGAGGCTGTGGGCTTCAAGGCTAGAGTAAAACCAGGTTTGAACATTGTATACCACTCACCTCTCCCAAACACTCCCAAGTCACCAGTGTTCCCCATCCCTGCATGCCTGCCCTGTGGCCAGGAAGAACCAAAGCAGAGGGGAAATACCCAAGACCAGGTACTTCCTTGCTATCGTGCCTAGCACATGCCTCCTTCCTTCCCTACTTGTGTCCTGGAGGAGT